AGTTTTCTTCCATGTGGGGAGATGCATGTATTAGTACATACTTGAAAGAGTATGTCTCATCTCTAACTGGCAGACACATGCCCAGATGCCCTCAGGGACACAAGTGGGGTTGTGAGTTAGAATGAAGAATGAACACATCATCCTGAGGGTTGATTTAGATGGTTACAGCTCTATGGTGCCTAAAGGAGGGTCAACACTAAACCAAGAAAGTTTCTCAATCTGGATCTCATTAGTCCTGCATAGTCTGCCAGTGCAGGAGTGAACACATCCAGAGAGCAGCCACACTCACCCAACAAAGCTTCAGCGCTGAGACACAGCCAAGCCAAAAGAAATAGACTGGCTCACCAATAGAGTGTTCAATGACCCGAACCACCCCTACTCTGGAGGATGGAAACCACTGGATGAAAACTGCAGACGGGTTCAGATGTCTGCCTTCCGCAAACTGTGAAAACATACAGAAAACAGATGTACATGCACAGGTATACTTCCATGCATGCAATGAACACACACACAGAGATCCCTGGCTTCTCTTTGTCCGAGGTGTTATCTGCTGTTATCACTGTAATTGGAGCAATAGGGGGTCATTTCCTGCAAGAATCAAGCTTAATTGCGAAGGCTCATTTCTCCCTTCTGCATCTCCCGGCAACCGCTCAGCTGTCGTCAGAAGAAGAGCAGCTCGCCTGTACCCCCTCCCCACAACCCTCCTCCCTCCCTCCCTCAAATTTTCCTCTGAACTCATTCCTCGACTCATCCCACCTTCTGAAGCCACTGTGCCTAGCGATCACTTCAAAAGAACGCAGATCCTCGTAAATCGCCCTTCAGCGACCGCAAACCACAGCAAGACCGCCAGAATATCCAAACAAACAATGCACTGATGAGTGGGCTGTACTGTCTTAGGTCATGCAACACAACCCCCCGAGCCCATGGAGTGATTGGATACTGGAAAGTAAACATCACGCTTCAGTGAGGCTGTATGGAAATGTGGCTAGCGGAGCATAGGGTTAAAGAGGAGTCTGCTGTGTGACAGTGAAAAAAGGCACAGAGAAAGAGAAGGAGACAGAAATGCTAACAGTGAGGAATGTTTTCTTATCGTCACAGAGCTGGTCTGGCTAGTCTTGATTTTTAGAACTTATCAGTGGATTACAACTGAGGACTGAGTGGTGATAGATTGCAGGAGGGTCCAGGGGTGTGATAGCCTTAGAAAGGCCCCTGCATGAAGTGTTTAGGTGATGATGAAGACGACAGGAAAAGAGTATTTAAAAATGGTATATTAATACCCCTCTGCCTTGTAGGTAATAAAAACCTCAACCCTCACACAAGTCTGACAGGCAAAAGATGTGAAATGAAATCTTGGGTATTTTAAGGCTTCATTGCACAGTGCGAGTAGAGTTAATGTTAAGGCAAAATTCACCTTCAAAAGGAAAATAAATACCACGGCGCCATTAAGCTTACATGTTTCCAGCGCTCAAACTGTAGGTGGTCCTGATTTCCCAGAGTATCTGATGGCAGCGTGCACCTACTTTTGACAATGTCCCCTGCAGACAGGTTTGCAAGACATAAAGGGCATGGAAATATTAATGCTACAGCTTAAACCTTGTTGCCACCAGCACTGCCAGTTTACATAAGCCACAATAACATCACTCCTCTAGTAGAGTCAAATCACCAGAGCGGCTGTGGTCGACCAAATATAAAACCCTCATGCACCAAAAACGGGTCCTGTGGGTCACATAACTGGTTCATCAAGGTCAACATTGCATCCACACCTAAGAAGAGCTGGCTCAGCATTCAGCATCACAGCAGTGTGTGCATGTGTGTAGCCAAAAACGTATGTAACATATGTTAAGAATACCAAAGAGGGAAATCCATGCAAGTGTAATTAAACCAGCATATAAAACATTGAAACACATGATGAACATGAGTCAACTGGGAATGAAGATTACAAAAGGAACAGTAAGTAAGCAGACGCAGACCAGACTGAGTAACCCTCAAATGATCAAGACAAGGAGATTAAAGAGGACAGGTTTTACTTCCTGTGCAGGCTAGTGTGAGTCCTGTGAGTCTGTTAGACTACTCATCCTCATTGTCCAGTTTCTCTCTGAGGCTTTCATGTGAGGCCTCTGCACTCACCCCGACAGGATATTACACTTTAATGATCTACTGAAAGGGCTCATCTCCTACACGGAGCGGTGCAGACAACAGGGAGTGTGGGTAAAGCATGTCACATTTACACGCACAAGAGGTACACTCAGACAACATTCACCTTTCCCACCAGGGCAGTTCAAGGGCTGATTCTGAGCCAGTCTTGAACCAGTTCTTTGTGTTTCAACAGCCAAAGATCTGGCTCTTGGCCAGAAAAACTAGTTTGAAGCTGGCACCAATGCTTTGCATCTAGAAGAAAGAACTGCTTACGTCAGGGGCAGAGGGCAGATTATCGTGACCAACAAGACCAATGTCCAAAAGTCTGCAGGCTCATTCAGACATTTGCTTTCACACATACAGCCCCTATGAAGAAATGCCAGAGGGTCTCCGGAGTTCAGTGTAATGACGTGGTTCTATTACGGCTCTAGCCAGTGGAAAAGCAAAGTGGTTATTAGAAAGTTCACCCTCTGACTTCCATTCCTGTACTAGCTCCACAAACTACATCCACATTACTGTGTTTTCGTGTGAATACACATTAACTCTGCTACAGATACGCCTGGCGTCCACACTACTCCAGAGTTTTAGAGCTGCTGAGAAGTTTGGAAACGCTGCTTGTCCCATTTTAGTTTGAAAACTCTGATATAGTCTGGATGGGCAGAAACAAAGAAACACTTGCTGGTAGTAGTATGGATGTATCCACAAACACAAACACACATGTGCCGCTCTAATCCCACAACACACATTCATATAGGTGCACACTAGAGATGCACGAATCGGCCTAATCCGCATGTATGCTCGACTCATCCACCCTGTCTGTGGGATATAGCATCAGTAGTGCACACAATGGACGCAATACATTGAATAACACTGCAGCCTTCTAGCTTCCCAGTGACATCAGTAGGTTGTAGCATTACCTTTGTGATGGGAGAAGTTCATGTTTATATTTCAGCCATCAGCTCGGACTGATCACGTTTCAATACAAAGCACACTGGCGCACTTTTTTTCATGAGTCGGCTCGGGGCATTGTGACCATATGATCTGATCTTCAGTGTGTGCCAGTATGTCAACAGTCGCAATTAAGTGAAATTATAAAGGCCCTAAAAAGCAGGCACTTGACTTATGATGAGGAATATGCGAGGCTCATGGAGTTGGAGTAAAATATAGAAGAGGTAGGTGGATCGACATGCACAGACATAAAGTGTCTACACCTTTACCAGGTAATCACACAATAAACAGGATGAAGGAAGCCTCTGTTTGTGTAGTCAAACACTGTCGTCTAACATATCAGAGGATCAGGCGGACAAAGAGCAGGATTTCCAACCGTCACAAAACTGTGGTTAAGGAAATTTGTTTAAAAGAACTACATACCAGAGAAGTGGAGTGCAACAGTTGCGGACTTGTTCAAGGGTCAGCAAGTTTGTGCGTTACTGTTTCATGCATGTACAGTATCACATGTGCACAGTATGAACATGCATGACAGCATGTGCATCTAACAAAGCAATAAAAGTTTTATGTGAGGCTTATACAGCATCCCCCTCACCTCTCTTCTGCTCTGTTTTGTACTGATAAACCTCCTGCTGGCCCTGCAGGGGAGGTTTGCAGGTGAGACGCTGAAGCATGTCACAGCATGCTGCAATCTCCCTGACAGGCTCTGGGAACTGGAATGCCGTCAATACAACATAAACCATGTGAATCAGATTCACTCCACTTCCCTACCTGCATAAGTAAGGGGTTGTGAACAGATAATCGTGGGAGCAATAAATCTAGATCTCAGGAAACACAAAAGCCCTTGTGTCCACATTTCAGAGTTTGGACAATTGATACTGAGCTCTTTCTTTTTAAACTGGTTCTTCCAGCAAAATGGAAGCAAAGATTTCCTAATTTCATGTTTTTGTGTTGAAATGCAGTGTTTATCTAGAATTCATGGGAATTAATGACAAGCTCATATGCAAGGTTTTTATCTTGCTGTCATCATATTACTGTATTAGGAAGAGACGAGGCTTGATTATATCAGGGAGATTTAGTTTTTATCACCTGTAGTTGGATGTAACACAGTATATTTACTTAGTTACTGTAATTAAAGGTTCGGTGTGTAGAATTTTTTGATATCTAGTGTTGAAATTACATGTTGCAGCTGAACACCCCTCACCTCACCCTCCCTTTCCAAACATGAAAAAGAACCTGTGGTAACTTTCAGTTTTCATAAAAACTCAAAAAATGTTTAGTTTGTCCAGTCTGGACTAATGTAAAAAAAACATGGCTGCCTCCGTAGAGAGGACCCCCTCCATGTAAATATAAAGTATTTAAAAAACTGTAATTCATACAATTCAGATGAAATGAACTAGTGAAAACAGCATGAGGATTCATTTACATAAAATTTCTGCCAATAGTTCCCTTTCACCTAAATCTTACACACTGGACCTTTAAGTCAATTATTCATGTTTCTGAACTTTATTTGATTAGATTTACTTTCAGGCTATTCTATTTATAAGTAAAAAGTTCTTCCACCATCACTGGTGTTAACATGTAGTTCAGTAACATAATGTGCAAGTAGTAGCTACGACTGCTGTGGCCACTGATCACGCTGACGAGACATCAAAAATCATCCTAAACAAAAGAAACATCCTAATCTGATGACCGCACCTGTTCGTCACAGAGTACAGATTTGAAGAAGGAGAAATATTTTTGCTGTTTCTGTAAGTGCATGCATAAAGGTCGAGAGAGAGGGAGAGAGAGAGAGAGAGAGAGAGAGAGAAAGAGAGAGAGGGAGAAAGAGAGAGAGAGTTTGCAAAGACCAACCCCCTTAAGCTGTTGCATGTTTCAACTAAGGTCTTCCTTCACTCCTTCTGCCTTAGTTTTGACTGTGAGTCACTCGGGGCTCGTGTTTGGATTCTCCTCACTGAAAAGCAAATGAAGTGCAGGATAGGGGCAATGCTGCAACAATTTCAAGGTAATTTCTTTATGATATCCATGTCTGATGTAATATATTATTAGATTATGTTTTTTTTGGCTGCATTTTAGTCAGATATTTGTTTTTGCGCTTTAATTTGTGTCCTGTTCATACATGACAGAATGTCAGGAGAAAAATAACAATTATCTTATTTATGATGATTTATGTTTAAATGAATCTGTTGCTTTAAGACATTGTTAAGAGTTAAGGAAAGGATTCTAAAACTTTTCCACAAAATTTCAAAGGAGATTTTTAGACTAAAAATATGCATGTGACAAAATTCACTGACATGACTTATATTGTTGAGGTTCTTTTAAATTTCCAAAGTCTAAGTCAATATTTTCAAAAGAAAAAACTGTATACTCTCTATTCTGATGCATGCAATTATGACTTACTGTGCCTATTCTCTGGATCAAATCCCATCAACAATAATTTGACGTTAAAACCCTAATTCACGATCTCCATTCATATTCATGATCTCCAGTGTATTATACTTTTTCAACACTCTGCACCCTTGTTTGTGCCAACATGGACCAGTTACTTTCATTTCACAAATTATTTTGCAACAGACTGAATAGTTTAAAGTCTTCTGACCTTTTGATAAATGTTAACATATGACTCAAGAAGCAGGGTAAAACATTCCCTTATGTGACAGAGACTCAGAGGAATGCAACCCTTATCACCCAGATTGTTTTCAACATAAAAGCAACCTTTCAGTGTATTTATGATCACGGTTTGCGATGCCATAAACTTAAGACGTGCTGTTTCTGTCTTAAATTGTGGGAGTTTGAATTATATTGCATCTGTGGGACATTTCAAACGCACCTCATCTATACTGTGAAGTAGAATGGAGGGAAAAGCCTCTGCATGTGTGCCAAATTACGTGCATGTGTTAAGATTGACTGGCATACACTTTAAACATAACTGGAACTTAGTCTAAATGTTTGTTTGACTTAAAATGATCCCTGTGTCCGTTTGTGCAAACACAAATGGCAATAATAATCCCTCTGTCTCATCTGTTTTAAAGGACGACATATAGTCATGCCTGTAGTTTGATACATCACATCAAGTATCACAGACTGGCATTCAAGCCATTTAGTCGAAATCAAGATTCATTTCCACACAAAGGCAATATGGCATGTGAAATCTGAATATAAATATGTGCACTCAGACCATTTGAGCAACAATAAACTTTACTGTGTATGTCAGCAGACGTGTTCATTTTCAGTAATCACATCACCAGTTGATGTTTTGTGGAGCTATGATTCATGAATTTTGACTCATCGGCTAAATGGCTTGAGTGTCAGTGTAATGTAACAATGTTTACTTATTTTAACTCAAGTGTGTGATGTTTTCATGTTGCTCTGTAATGATTTGAATTTCCGTGTCTCTTTGCAGGGTCTGGGCCCCCTGACCAGGACAAACAGAGCTCAACAGCACCGTCGTCTGGCTACAAGGAGAACATCTAGGGATTCTAAGTGGATTACTTAAATTTTCATGTAACACCATCTGGCATTTTTTTCTGTATCTTTTTTGGTTTGGTTCTCTCTTGACTAATTCTTGATAGCCCCTGCTGCCAAAGCATGTCAACAAAAAGGACTTCATAGCCACTGACTGCAGAATAGAAGAAAAGCAACATAAAGCATGGAGGCTTTGAGTGCCACTCATGCAGCATCTTCCCCCTCAACAACCACATTCCCCACCTCCCCCGCTCCCTCCTCTCCTGGTTACCTGCAGTTCTTCTGGGAGTACCAGGACAACTCTGTCATTGTGGAACATTACAACTACACTGGTAAGCTGCAGAAAGACCGCTACCGTGAGGGGCTCAAACCTGAGGGGATCGCGTTCCTGGTGGTGTGTCTCCTCATTGTCTTGGAGAACGCTGTGGTTCTCATCGCCATTTGGAGGAACAAGAAGTTCCACCTGCCGATGTATTACCTGCTAGGTAACCTGACTTTGTCTGATCTTTTGGCTGGGATTACTTACATGGCCAACATTATCATGTCCGGACGTAATACTTTGAAACTGACACCATTGCTATGGTTTGTCAGGGAAGGAGGGGTGTTCATCACTCTGGCTGCCTCCATCATTAGTCTCCTGGCCATTGCAATTGAACGCCATGTTACTATGGTGACAATGAGGCCATACCATGGGGCCAAGCGGGGACGAATGTTGGCATTGATTGGTGCAAGTTGGGCCCTCGCAGGCTTTTTGGGGGTCCTACCAATTCTTGGATGGAACTGCATGCACAGACTGGACCAGTGTTCGACAGTGCTGCCACTTTATGCCAAGAGCTACATCCTCTGCTGCGTATCTGTGTTCAGTGCAGTGCTCCTGGCCATAGTAGTCCTTTATGCCAGAGTTTTCCGGATTGTCCGTACCAACACACAGCGTCAGCGGCTGGGCATGTCAGGCAGCATACGGAAAGGCTTGGCAAGGAAGTCACAGAAGTACATTGCCCTCCTCAAGACAGTCACCATTGTGCTGGGCGTCTTCATCGCCTGTTGGCTTCCCCTCTTCCTCCTCCTCCTGCTGGACTTTTTCTGTCCAACTCACAGTTGCCGCCTGCTCTACAAGGCTGACTACTTCCTGGGAGTAGCTATGGTCAACTCGCTCCTCAACCCCATCATCTACACGCTGACAAGCAAGGACATGAGGCGAGCTATTCTGAGACTGCTCTGTCGGCCGTGTCTTATGACTAGAGATGGCCAAGTGAAGAAGATCGGGATGCCGTTCCTGGAGTGCAGCTTCAGTAAGACTGAGGTCGCCTCCCAGAAGTTAGAAGGGGGACCAGAGACGACCATGTCCTCTGGGAATGTCATCACCACCCCATCTCCGATTAAAGCTCTTTACCCCAAACTCTTCAAATCATAAGGACATAGACTAGTCCATAAATGTGTGAATGGATTTCCCACTGAACAGAGGACATGTAGCACTTGTCTGTTCCCTACAGAGAGGAAGCAATTCTTGGTATTCTCAATTTTGGAGAAGACCAGAAACAGATGTGATGGAGGGATGAGTGGGGCAGTTACCACATCCACATACTTCATTGTGAACTGATCAGAGAACAAAAGGCCATGAAGATGTGAACAAGCAAGCAAACTTTTTACGAGTTTAATGCAAGTGATAAATCTCTTTAACTAATTTGCACTGAAATATCACAATGAATGGAGCACCAGACTTGGATAAAAAACGTTCCTGTAGTTCTGTTGTTTGTATGTAAATCTGAAAGGACATTTCTGTAAATGCAAAGACTCTCGTGACTGAAAAAGTATGAACATTTTCACCAAGACCTTCTGGGTCAGTGGTGAACGAGTGGGACTGCCTTTTTTTTCACTCTCTCATCAAAGTGCCTTCAATTCATCACAGACTCTGTGGCGTGCTAAAGTGCAGTACCTTAACATGTCAGGAAAGACAAGTATAAATTGTCAGATTACAGGAAAGACTTGGTGAAGAATGTTGTAGGAGGATGTGGGGCACAGAATTAAAGTGCCCCACTGTGATGGTTAACCTCAGCTGGGGTTGACTTGAAATGTCAGCATGTCAGGAAAAATGTCTACAATAGATAAAACAACAAAAGTTCATCATAGTGTGATTAACTGACAGATGTATCGGTGACAGTACATTACACATTACATTGACTCTGACTGAAACCATATAATCTGCAATCACCTGTAGAATAAGCACAATAAATGGTTTTGCCAAAAAATGAAACTGCAGCTATATTAAATAATAAAGGTGTGATTAACCGTCATTATCAATTAACATCAGGACCAGCAGCCTTTAATCAGGACAGATAACTTTCATTCACTATTTTTCATGCTCACCGAGTATTTCCACTTGTAGTTTAAGAATCTTTCTTATTATGAAATGACTGTGACATCAGTTTTTTTTATACAGATTTCTTAGTCTTTCCAGACCTTAACTGATGAATGATCAGTGTGCTTTTTTGTACTGTAATTCATGTTGTGATGTTTTTGTATTGCTGAAAACCTTTTATATCATCCATGTTGTAAATTATATCTATTTTGTAACAAGAAGGCCCAAACTTTAGCTTTCTATTCATAAAAGAAATAAAAAATTATTTCTTCAAAGATTCCAAAGAGTTTGGGTTTATTTTCATTGTGTGTGCACACTAAAACTGTTTTTTGTGCATCTGACGTTGTATGAATGTTAAGAAGCTCCACAGGAAGTCTCGGCTTGTTTCACATCTGGTAATGACATTAGCCTACATACGGCGTACCTCTACAAGCTCTGCAGGTCTGAGGATGACTCAAGTACCACAATGCACCCTTTGTTCAGACATTTGTTTGTTTCGTAAACCTGTGGGTACGATTGGCCCTCGCCACAGTCTGACCTGTTGTTCATAACTGTATTGAAAGTGAGAAAGTTAATTTGAAGCTGGCTTCGATGTCCATCCTCTGAATTTGCCTGATTTTTTTCATCAAGATCTGTGAGTAATTCCCTGGGAAACTGTGGATAAGGTTGAAAAATGCCCTATCTTACAATGTTGAAGAAAGTGAAAAAAAATCCTGATGCACACACCAAAGTGAAATAGGTTCTTTCCTGACACATACCTCATCCTTTCACTAGTTTAATGGAAAACCATTCAGGTGTTTTTGTGTAATCTTGCTTAAAAACATACAAACTAACAAACAAATGAAAGGGGGGGTGTACTGTTGTGTAACAATAACCTGTTATTACAAATCCCTCTGACTATACACATAAGCATGCTGTGAATATTGAAAATTATTTATAGCTTTCACAACAACTACACGCGCAGTTCCCTATTAAGGGACATATACTAATGCTTTAACACCTCTCTAAGGAAACAGCAAATATATATGAAAAAATAGCTTCCTGCAACACAAAGTCAAGAAGTGCCAAACAAGAAGCTGGACAAACTATATAGTTGTTTCATTTTTGATTCAACCCTCAGTGACCCAAAGACATTTGCACCTCCAATAACGGGTACCACATGGCAGTGGGACACCTGAATATGGCATGTTTGAGTGCAGGTGTTCCCCCAGATGTTGGCTGCATTGTTCCTGCTGACAGAGGTCAGTGAGTCAGGGGAACTCTCCTAGCTCCCCCTCCCCAGCTTCCTTCCTGTTGCTGCAACCATGCAACAAACTGGACAGGTAGAAGTCATAAGTTGTTTATCATGGTCACCAAGGACTATCCCACCCACAGGCTTCATTCTGCACTATTCCTCACTGCGCCAGAGCTTCGGCTTGAGTAGTTAAACAGAACAATAGCATAGTACATGAAAGTAAATCACTAAACTGACTCTAGAGGTTTATACGAGTGTTTTAACCCAACAGGGACATGACAAGCAAGGCCCACGGCCAACCCCACCTATTCCTCTAACTAGTCATCATTCAGCTGGTGAGTCATAATTGAAGGTTGATGTTATATCATGTCATAATTATTTTTTTAATGACCTTATCATACATGTCATTTAGCCTAAGGGAGTGGAGGTGTTATTACAGCATTAATTATTTGATGAAGTCCGTTGTGAATCCCAGCTATAGAGAGTCGAAACGGAAATATTTCAGCTCCATACGATTGTGGGTCTTCTGCTGCTTCTTCTTTGTTTTTGAAGGTGGTTGGCAGCCGGCAGCCAGCTGCATTATCGCTACCCTCTGCTCCAGAGTGTGGACCAGACATTAGATCCTACTCAGTCTGCCTCATAAACTAAAAGAAGATTCTTACGTTCTGTCCTATTATCAGGTTCATACAAGCTTTAATGCTAAACTCCTGAACCCCAGTCCTCCTCGGTTCTTCCTTCACATTTGCTCCTGACAGTGCTCACATACTCCACAGTTTGAAGCCTTCCTTCTGAGTGTGCTGTTTAAATTGGAATGGCCGAGCCTTATTCCACTGAAAGTTTCTACTTCTTTTCTTGACCAATATTTCTTACTGTTAAATTAACTTTTGTCAGTATGCACAGGTTTGGTTTGTTCCACTTATCTTCTGTTGTCATTCCTCTATTGCTTGTTTTCAAACTATTCATTTGATCTCTGATTTGTTTAATGGATCTATGTAATGCTTGTTTTGTTAATCTGTCTACCCAATTGACTTGCCTTGTTGAATGAGACTGGAAGATACTTTAGACAGGAGATCTCTATGACTGGAGTTGAATCGACTCCGGCTCTTAGGAACTGAAATGAAATCAGAGCAGATAAATGTGTATTGCATTTTTATTTTGACTACACCACACTCATCTCCACTGTGTAGCCCCCTATAGTTTGGAGTTTGCTTTATAATAGCTTCTCTCCTGGCTGGAAGTGAAAAAGCCCCCTTTATCTGGTGTTATTTTGACCCATTTGTACACACTTGAATGTATTGAGGGTAGAATTCACTATTATGGACTGCAAATGCTGTTAACATGTTCACCCTGTCTCTCTCAACCATCTTGAGCTCCAGCAGACCAAGGTAGGTCTTTGGTTTGGTATTTGGTGCCTCCCTGTGGCTGTTGTGCAGAACGAGGGTTACAGAAAGCTTTACCCAAATTACGTTTTCTGCTATAGAAAAAAACATGATGGCGTGCCAGCATCTGTCCAGAGCCCAGAGCAGGTCAGGTTTCTCTCAGGCTGCTTTGTACTGGAGGAGCCATTCACAGATGAGAGTGTTTTGAGACAGGAAGCCTGACAAGCAAGGTGAGCTGCAAATGAGGAAGTAATTGGAGTTGTGGGGTATTTATAGGTCATTATAGCCGTGTCTCCTGAGCCCCATTATGTTGTATTTAACTCCATTATACAAGAGCATTTCTGGTAATTTCCTGTTGAGATTTCAAAACGTGTGGCTTAAAAGTGATATTAATGAATTTGTGACAAATTCAGGGCTGACTCAGGAGGGGACTGGCCTCATCTGAAATCTGATGAGCCCCTGAAGTTCACCCTATCCTATCCATAGTCTTGATATGAAAATAAAAACTTGTGACTAACAATACTTACGATAAATATGACAATTTGTTATGTTTAAGTACATAATGTGCTTGAATAAGGAACAATAACAGAATATATTTCATTATGTGACTTTGTTCAAAGCTATAAAGTAAACAAGGAGTGACTTAACATGTTATTGAATCAGGGATCATGTAATGACATAAGATTTAATCGGCACATATGCATAAATTGTGGCCCTCTAATGATCCCCTGATTTAGACAAAGACATCTGCCACTTCCACACAGTATATGGATATGGGCCACTTCAGGCCATAATCCGGCACTTCTGGCATTCTTCCACAAAATGGACGTAAGCCTAAAGCAGTCCACTTTAAAATGGTAAATGTGGCCCAAATATCCCCAAAAACAAACATGGGACTTGTTTTGCAAACATGCAGTGCTTTGACAAGGTTTATTCTTCATATGAACTAAAAGTGGCCCATGTGGTGAAATGTTAATAGGGCCCATCGAGCACAAAACATATTTGGTTTTCTTTTGGTTGAGATTGCTATGGTTTACCTGTTGTGGCCCAGATCTGGCGAACAGGAGCTCCCATGTGGCAGAGTGACAGTGTGGGCCGAATCTGGGCTGGGTGAACTTTTGAATGTGTCCTTGTACAGCCTGAGGTTGACCTCAATACTACAACACATATTTCCCAACGAGTTGCAAAGTGCAGTGGAGACAGTGTACACGTTTCTCCCGTGGCTGTGTATTTGTTTAACACCAGATTTGATTGATGATAGATGAACAGTGTGTTGCAGACTGTCAGTGACCGGCCTTGTTTTTTTCCTTCACTTTTGGACGCCCCTCCGCAATAAAAGCCCCCTCGCTGTGGACGTTGAGTCACCGCCGTTGCTCCTGCAGCCTACGCGGGAGGCGGACTCTTATTGTGAAAGGGACGAGAGGTCGTCACAATGCTTAGTCATGGTGAGTTACAGCCTCCCCCCCTCCCCCCTCCCTCCCTCCTCCCTCCCTCCTCCCTCCCTCCCTCCTCCCTCCCTCCTCTGAGGCGCACAGCTCGACAGTCGGCAGGCGGCAATGGAGGAATCGAACCGGACTGCGTGAGTTTCTTTTTATTACAGGCTTAATTAACCAGTGGTGTTTGTAATGGAGGGGTTTTAAAGCACAACGGGGCCCGGCTAATAGCTGGAAAGTGCCCGCAGAGCGCCCTGTTAGCATGTGCTGTGCTCGGAGCTGCCCTCAGCGCGACTGTCTATTATCGGGAGCCTGTTTCGCTGTCAGCTCAATTTCCCGAAACGTCCAACTCACTGTCTTGTTGTTTGTTTGTCGGGTCTCACTGTTCGTCTCGGAGCGAGCACAGGGACTCAGCCCGCGCGGCTTCAGCCGTGTCACTCGTCATTTTCTGTCCGTGCCGAGGAGGCAGCGGATTATTTTGGATGAAAACAAGCGGCGGCAGCAGAAATGGTCAGTCAGAGAGAAACGCTGCTGCTGCTGCTGCTTTGTGTGTGTGTGTGTCTGTGTGTGTGTGTGTGTGTGTCTGTGTGAGCGTGCAAGCGTGCGTGTGATCGCTCTTCATATTGGGCTGATGGCGCGGAAATCTCATTCCAGCTGGGTTTATATAAAGACTCGCTTCCCCCCCCTTCTGGGTCTTGTTTTGGTACATCCAGTTCCACTGTTCGCTCGGTGAAGAGTTCAGGATGACTCACCGACGAGGGAGACTCTTCGCCAGAAATGCCCACGAAAAACACGCGCAGCACTCCTCGTCCTCGTTTGACTCACCGCACCTAAAGCATCTGAGTTGTAATTCTCCCTCAACTGATCGGCCCCGAGGTTTCAGTCTCTCCAGTGCATTGTGCAATCCCTGCTGAATTGGCATCCGAGGAGGTTCCCAAACGGAGGTGCAGGGTGCATCAAGGGGGCCTCAGTGGTGCTGCAGGGAGTCATCGTCCTGAGGAGCAGTTGGATAAAAACTTTGATCACTTTGGTCCTCTAAGTGTCTGTAAGCCCCGACATTCAAATTCAACTGGAAACAGTGTCATTTACATACTGCTGTTAACCTTGATGTCCTCTGTTATCCTCCTCCGAGTTACTGTTGTGGTAACAGCAGCTATTACGAGATCTTGCAAGTATTTAGAATTGTGTCAGGCCTTTTTGCGGAGGTTCCCTTTCACACATGAGCAACACACAGGGTATTCTCCACTCGGACACGTTCACAACAACACAGAAATCTCTGGAGCGTCCAGGCGATGGATTGCACATGTTGTGTCCTGACTCTGGCTGCTGTACCACCCTTCACCCGAATCCCCCGGAGGATTGGCCACTGTCGTGAACGCGACTGACATGTGTGAAAGGAAACCTCTGGAGAAAGTTCAGACCCAATTCTGACTTCATGTCTGAAAACGGCCGAACAGACCCGGTGGCTACATTACACATTTATAAACTCCACATGAACCAGGTCAGAACATTAACACAACATTGTAAACTGGATGTCTGGACTGTTGGTGGGACAAAGTTGGAGATTCTCTTTTGACTCTGGGAAATTGCAATAGACATTTTCTTTTGGTTACTAGAGGGGGTAATCTGCAGATAAATCAATTCTGAATTTTATTGTTTGAGTTTAAATCCATTTGAATATAGGGAAATAACTGGATCAATACATTAGCTAATCGTTTAGATCTACATAAATTATAGTCCTCAACAAATATCTTACTCTGCGGTGAAGCTTGGACTATTTTACTTAGCATTAGAAAGGAAATACTTACTGTTTATTTTACAAGTGTGAGATATCATAGGCAGGTACAGCCTGTTTGTCAGTGAGCAGAGTCTCTCAGTCTCTGTGAGCAGGCGAGTTGAGCAATATGTTCTCCTGTGAAACAATTTTACCCAGAAACACAGCAGTAAATCTGTATCGCAGTGTGTTTCATATTACACTAGACTTTAACCGCTGGCTGACTGAGTTGATGAGAAGCTCCATATGACTAATGTCAACCTGTTTTGATAAAAAATTACAAAATGTTTGTTATGTCAAAGCTTTTTAGACATAACAAATATTTTCTTTCCTCATCATTGCTGATATAAAGAATACACAATAATCTACTGGGAAGCAGTACACGGTGGCCTGTCCACTGCATCTTATTACCACATCAGGTTAACCTTTACTTTGTACACAACATATCTTGTATAACTCTGAACACTCACAGTAGCATTGTTGCTGAGTAACTCTGATTCTTCCTGATTAGGCAGCAGACAATTAGTGACTGTCACAGGCAGGTAATATGCTTTGAAGAAGTGGGAGTTAATGTACAGAGAAGTTTTCATTTGGCTGTATCGCTTTGTTATTTTAATGGCTTGCAACAGTGCAACACTTCTTCTCCTTGGACCTGAGCCCCCAAATTCCCAAAAGAAGTATTATTTTGCAAAAGTTTTCTGCATTGCGATCTCCTGCTTGGTTCATCATCTGCTGTTCTTCAAGAGTTCTTAAAGTAAACATAGGCCCGGGGAATAAAACGGTCACAATTATCGCGATGTATGCTTCATCAATTCAAATATAATAAAGAATCAACACACAAGTGATCTACCTCAGAATTTTTAAATGTTTTTCTTCTCAGCTCATTAAGAGAGCACCTTCACTCAGCAGCAAAAATCAGTCATTCAAATTAAGAGAAATAACAATGTGAGATTTATCAGGATATCTATTTTTTGGCCATATCCTCCTGCGCAATGTAAACGTGATGTTTGTTGTTTGAATTGTTGCAAGCTTGTGTTGACAATTTGGCATTCATCTGTTGTTTGTCAGAATTGGGGCTGTTGCACAAACTGTTCCCTCTCTTCCAGCCCCCATCTGAGCCGGTCACAGGACAGAGTAGTCAGTCATGCCGGCCTGCTAATTCAAATCTAATTTGAGTCACTCCATCATTCTTCAAAACAGTCATTACGCCCTCCTTATTCCTCATATACTCACTTTCATTTACACCCACATTTATTAAGATTTCTAATATTCTTAGTCTGTATCATTGTGTAATGCTTTTAAATTGTTTTTGGGGTTTAGATGTAGAGTTTAAAAAGTTTGTAAAGCTTCATTTCACATGTTGAGGAAAATGAGGTTGAATCATCTAATCAGAGAAGTGTATGAAAAGAGATGAAGGGAAGAGTCTTTTAAATTGTATATATGTGAGAATGAATAAAAGTTGCAAATGCATCATGACAAGGAGGAAACCTTGACCCCAGTGAAGTGCACCGGAGAGAATAGCCCATGCGTGTGAAAGATGATAAATAGAACATGTGTGGATAAACTTTTACTGTGTAAGGTGATTAAGCAAGATAAGTACTGTTGCATAAGACAGTGTATTTGTCAGCATTTTGGAGGTAACTGCAGGATTTATAAAAAAAAACTGCATAACAGCTGTATGTTAACTTTTTTTACACATAGCACCTGTGCTACAGAGGTTCATTTTATTTCTAGCACAGCTTATGTGCAAACATCTCTGAAAACAATCGCAGGTGTACTGCACTTGAATAGCTATGTAACGATCAAATGGCTTGTTGCATTGAAGTCACAAATAACAAACCTCACAAAGTAATATTATTTTTTACTCGTATCATAAATATACATACATTCATACAAAATTATCCCAAGCTCATTTGTTCGGGGTTAAAACTGCAACGCTCATATCACAGTCCACACACACAACTGACTGTGTTCCAAACACATGCACGTTCACAAAACTGTATCGTACAGGCGCCACAACAATAAATTCATTCATGGCGCAGGCATTTCTTTTAGCATGTAGGGGGTGTATATGTTGTACTGTGCAGCCCTGAATATGAAAAGCAGTTTTAAACACCCTATTTAAATGTATAATCGATATATAAAGCTACTACCTCACTGTATGTCTCTCTCCCTCTTTCCTTGCAGTTGACAGCTGAGCCACTGGCTTCCAAGTAAACACAGCAGCGCAACTGAATTCCTGAAACTGGAAACTTCAAGGAAGACGTCTCTGCAGAAAGCCACCAAACACTCCTCTCTTTCCACTGCGAGGGCTGATTTAATAGTTACCTCTTTAAAATGAGGATGTAACTCAGCCTTCGTCTTTTTTTCTTAAGAGAAATCAATATGCAGGATAGACTCGCCCCAGTGGTGAATCTCACAAGCGTTCACATTCATCGTCAGATATGTTTATTCTATAACTTGGTGGATATCTGAGCAATTAAAAACAAAATAGGCGACTAAAACTCCCCAAAATATGTTTCACTCAGATACACTTATTGAATATAGACTTGTTTTATTGTGAGGGTTGATTGACAAGTTTCTGTCACCATCCCCATGAGCTTAAAGGAAAACACTGATAGAGATTCCTTTCATTTCTTCTTCTACTTTTTCAGTTATCACTGTCACAAAAATATTCTGTGCCGTCAGTAACGTCAGACACAACCCAGAGGAATTTTGAACTCAGACGTTATGATGATGATGTTGGGACATCAACGTGTTACAGTGCACTCAGCCTTGACTGGCAGCTCACGTAGGACTCTCGTTATGCCATAATGAGGACTATGGCTGAACAGATCAACTGAACCCTCATGTCTAAATAAATCCGATTTAAAAGTGAACTGTTCCACACAAACAATCAGGCGAACCCAGAAGAGCGTTTCTTTTAATTTACCCATGCCTGCGTGTGGTGCAAGGATGCCCCATAACTGTGTCTGCTGTTCCTGAGAGAGACCAAGACCAGGAGGAGGAGAAAGGGTAGGAAATGACAGAGTGCCTGACAGAATGCAAAGCGCTGGTGACTCCGTCCACGCGCAACGGCCACCACGTCTTCAGCTACACGCTAGAGAGCCACACGGCGGCCGCCTTCGCCATCATGAACGAGCTGCGCCTGGAGCGACAGCTGTGCGACGTCACGCTGCGTGTGCGCTACAAAGACCTGGAGGCTGTGGACTTCGAGGCTCACAAGGTGGTGCTGGCCTCCTCGTCCCCAGTCTTCAGGGCCATGTTCACCAACGGCCTGAAGGAGTGTGGTATGGAGTTGGTGCCCATTGAAGGGATTCACCCCAGGGTAAGTCAGTTCATTTTACTTTATTTGATTTGTCATATTATTTCAGTCACCACCACCCTACTAGCAGGCCTCAGGGTCACATTACAGAGAAGATATCTTAAAACTTTTATGTCTAACATTTAATACCATAAATCATCAATTATTTTGAAGTATATCGAATTAATAAAAATAAAAACGTCAGAAAATTGCATTTTTATTTGCTCTGTTTAATTTTGAGCTTGAGCAATTTATCGGTTGACCAATCATATCAGTTAATATGTTAAAAGTGGTAGAACTGAATAAAATGCATCAGAGCCTTGTTTTCCCTTTTCTCTCCTAGTAACTTCCTATTTTATCCTCATTTCCTTCTACCTGTCTTCCACCGTCACCCCCCCCCCCCAAATCCCTTTGCCCCCTTCACCCACTCAGGTTATGGACAGACTGATAGAGTTTGCCTACACAGCCAGCATCTCTGTGGGAGAGAAGTGTGTGATCCACGTAATGAACGGAGCCGTCATGTACCAGATCGACAGCGTGGTCAAGGCCTGTTGCGACTTCTTGGTCCAGCAGCTCGACCCCAGCAACGCTATCGGCTTCGCCAGCTTTGCAGAACAGATTGGCTGCACAGAGCTCTACCAGAAGGCCAGAGAGTACATCTACATGAACTTCAGCCAGGTGACGATCAGCACTTATAAAGAAAGCTCCACTGGTTTTTATGTAAACATTACCTTCATCTGTATCAGTGTATGTAGCTGTGTTATATCCGGTTTTGACCACAATCAGAAAGAAAAAAACTGGTTTTGCTTAATTCGAGGAAATTCACTATTTATAGCCATATTTGTACTGGGGGACTTTACTATAAAGAAGTTTTCCATGATGTAATCAGAACTTGTTTTACTTGTTTCTTTTTTTACACACCTCAGACATGATTTTCATGAATGTAGGCTTTGACTCACGAGCGCTGTATGGGTTTACATGTGGTTTGAGAAAACTTGATTGCCAAATATGACGTAGTAGAAGTACGGTGCAGCAGAAAAGACATGAAACTGCACTTGAAATCGATTTCTGACAGACAGCGACAGGTCAGGAAGATCAAGTGTCAGAGAATTGTTTTGAAAACTATTTGTGTTTCTCGTAGAGTGATGCATACACACTCCTCCAAAGATTTGGTTTGAAATGTAGTATGACTGTTAAAGCAGGAAGTCAGATTTTCCTAGGTATGTAGTTTGTGAGCTTTTTTTTACTTTAGTTAAGTCTTCCAAACAAAGTTGATGTTTGACCAGTTTCACGCAACGGATTTGTACAAACAGTTTTCTGTCAGTGTTAACTTACAGTTATGTTTGTGTGTGATGTGAAAATGAGCAAGGCGACAAGAACTTTTTTCTCCCTGTTACCTGATGTATCATTTTTTTCTAATGGCCACGTTATCTTCACAGCGAGCTCAAAAACAGCATTGAGAGGGATGACAGGGATGAGTAATTCAGGCCGTCTTATCTTGTCTTGTCCTTTGACAAACAGTTTGCTGTTTGCACAGATATCAGGTATTTTACACAGGGAAGTAAAATGTAGCATTCCATCACATTTTCTGCTCAGTCACAGTGATTCAACAGTCAGTCTGAGTCAGAGGGTAGTGGAAGAAAAAGTAGGATATTAAATTCAATAGATCCAGATTATTATTTGGATGCACACCACATTGCATACACTCATATTTATCAGTCATTATCAGATATGACTCAGACACTTCTTTGTGTTTGAGGATTGATCACAGCTCTGCACTTGTGTAGAAAAAAAACAACTGATTAAAGGTTTTTATTCCCACTCCTGCCTCCAGGTTGCGACCCAGGAGGAGTTCTTCAATTTGTCCCACTGTCAGCTGGTCACCCTCATCAGCCGTGATGAGCTGAATGTGCGCTGCGAGTCTGAAGTCTTCCAGGCATGTGTAGCCTGGGTGCGCTACGACCGGGAGAACCGGCGACCATATGTCCAGGCCTTACTCCAGGCTGTCCGCTGCCATTCCCTCACCCCCAACTTCCTGCAGGCCCAGCTCCAGTCTCTGGATTGGGACCCCCAGTGCAAAGACTACCTGGCCCAGATCTTCCAGGACCTCACCCTCCACAAGCCCACCAAAGTCATTTCTTGCAGAACTCCCAAGGTGCCGCAGCTCATCTACACAGCCGGAGGCTATTTCCGTCAGTCTCTCAGCTACCTAGAGGCCTACAATCCCTGTACGGGAAGCTGGCTGAGGCTGGCTGACCTGCAGGTGCCCCGAAGTGGCCTGGCCGCCTGTGTGATCAGTGGGCTTTTCTACGCTGTGGGTGGAAGAAACAATGCGCCTGATGGCAACATGGATTCAAATGCATTGGACTGCTACAATCCCATGAACAACTGCTGGCTGCCATGCGCACCGATGAGCGTGCCAAGGAACCGAATCGGAGTTGGCGTCATCGATGGCATGATATATGCAGTTGGTGGATCACATGGGTGCATTCATCATAATAGTGTAGAAAGGTAAGAGCATTTCATGAGAAAGGCTGACATTATTTAATACTGCTAAACGAAAGTGTAAGAGACCAAGTCCAATGCTGCATTCATCCTACAAATATAACCTGTAATACCACAACCTACATCTACTTTCAATGTATTTTTAACGCCCATTGATTTAACTCCTTAAAACTAAATGCCCAAAAATCAATAGAATATATATCTCTGCAACTTAAGGCAACACTCTTATTTAAATGTGTTTGAATGGGTGAATATCAATTGTACTGTTAAGAGCTTTGAGTGGTTAAGACAAGAAAAGCTCTATATAGATGCAGTGCATTCACCTGTGGTCAGGTGACTTCCTGGAAAGAAATGGTTTTCTTCCACTTCCTGTAATCTATTTTAGTTTCTATTTTAGTTTCCTTCAACTACTAAAATATAAGCAACTGATGTCATGGCTGAAGTTTTTCTCTTACACTCTCTGTAAACAGTCACACCTAATGTATGGGATACAAAACCTTGAGTTACTCATTCACTCTTCACAAGATTATACGGTTTATTATTCACAACTGTAAAATAGCATTTTAGTTTTTTCAGTTTCCTCTCTACACTGATAAAGAATAACAGGCTGGATGCCGATCAACAGGTCGCACCAATAAGCACCCAGTATATTTTTAACCCAGTTAAAAAATTAACCCTGACTCTGGTTTTGTCTTCAGATGATGCAGACAACAGTGACAAATAAAAATGATTTACCAGGTTAACCACAATGCCTGACTGTAAGAAAGAACGTGCCCAACCTGTCTTATTGCCCATGATGGGACTCAGTGGCGCACACGCTCTGAAAACGGACACAAATGACTGCTGCACAGAAAAACCGGAAAGTGAACCTTTGGCAAATTGGAAAACTAGGACACACATAGTGCACAGCTCCACCCAGGCCCAACAGTCCTAGTATATTTAAATTCACTAGATCCAGATTTTTATTTTGATCTGCACCAAATTGCACACACTTCCTAAATATGCCTGATTTCATTATGGCGCATTAATTATTCTCTGAAATCAATGAAAAGGTTGAAACACACCCTATCGCACTATGATCCAGATGTGGACCAAAATTGAATGAGTTCTCTCGTGACCCATGTCGCTCCACCAGTGTTGTGATAATCTGTTTAGTCGTTTTAGCTTAATCATGCTAACAAACAGACTGAGAGAGAAACACGGATGAGAACATAACCGCCTTGATAAACTGATTTGTGCTGGTTTTTCTCTGTAGGTATGATCCAGAAAGGGACCAGTGGCAGCTGGTAGCCCCCATGTTGACGCGGCGTATCGGTGTGGGTGTAGCCGTCATCAACCGGCTACTTTACGCTGTGGGGGGGTTTGATGGGACCAGCCGGCTCAGCTCCTGTGAATGCTACAACCCAGAGCAGGACGAATGGAAAACCATGGCTGCTATGAACACTGTGCGCTCAGGGGCTGGTAAGTAAGAAATTGAAATCCACTTTCCAATTGAAATCCACTTTCCAATTAAAATCGGAAAGTTAAAGCTAAACGTCCAAACAATCTTACTGATATTTAAAATCTAATGTTTTTCTGTATCACATGTGGTATCATTTAGAAGTTTTGCTTATGCTCATGTCTAGATAAATCTAATTTGAATAAACTTTTAGGTGTATGTTCACTGGGGAATCACATCTTTGTGATGGGTGGCTACGATGGCACCAACCAGCTTAACACAGTGGAGCGCTATGATGTGGAAAATGATACGTGGAGCTTTGCTGCCTCTATGAGGCACCGGCGCAGTGCTCTGGGAGTCACCGCTTTGCATGGACACATCTACGTATTGGGTGAGTAGGAGTCAAAGCAACAGAAAGTCATGAATACATTTCACTATGGTTATTGTATAGTTATGCTGCCAACCCTATTTAATCGACAGTCAGAGCCACTGATACATCTGATCATTTTCATCTCATAAATAAATATCATTTGAGTTTCTGGCTTGTAACACACAACATTGCAATGTTAGCTGTCTATGAAATGCCAAACAGAAGTACACAGGAAATTAACTCTACAGCCAGAACACGACCAGGTTGTCCAGCTGCCTTTGTCTCCTCTCCTCAGGCTCGTTTTTACATTGTCAGTCAGAATTCTAATGCTCAATTAGACTGCCTGGTGCCTGTGCTGCCGCCTGAAAAGTCGAGCTTTTTACTCAACTTCTACTGCACGCAGCGCATAAAAGTGAAGCAACAGAACCACAATGAGTATGGCAATGCAGGACATCACCCAAAGGGTTTCCAAAAGAAGCCACGGTCCTCGCATTAGCACATATGAAGCAGTCATTATTAATGACATGCTTCATGTTTGTCATGTTTGAGAATGAAAGTGGAGAATAAGGTCTTAGAATAATTATATTGAACAAATGAGAAAAATGTCAATTTTGTGTTCGCAGGAGGTTACGACGGCAACACTTTCCTGGACAGCGTGGAGTGTTACGACCCAGAGAAGGACACGTGGTCGGAGGTGACGCACATGACGTCAGGGCGGAGCGGTGTAGGCGTGGCCATTACCATGGAGCCGTGCCAGAAAGAAGTGCCATCGTGTCTGGGGTCTGAGAGGGAGAACGGTGCTGCTTCACCGGCCTATCAGTCAGCCAACTCCAGTATTGGTGTTCACCACAGTCAGCGGCACAACGGGCCCTTCGGCAAAGGCCCTGAAGCTCATTGCTAGGCCCTGTCACACATGCACATTTACAAACAAGCACCCTGAAACTCAACACTGTCTTCCCGAATCAAAATAAGACCTCTCACAACTGATTAGAGACAGAGGTGAGCTGAAACTTCTGAATGCTACCTCACTGGTTGTAGATATCACACTTGATGTGAATTAAAAAAAAAAAAAAAAAACTAACTCTTTTGATAAGGTGACAAAAAAAGAAAGTGAGTTGAGTAGCTCTGTTGGATTGTCTGAACCATGTACGACTCCTGGTCTTTCAGACAAGTTTCCAAGATGTGATGTTTGATTAATTTGTTTGTGGTGAATTGTGTTTTCGCCAAATCTGACTTGGACCTCAGTCAGTCTGTGTGTTAGCATTTAGCTTTTGTAGTCCTCAGTCGGACCATCATCTCCCAGGTTTGAGCCGCGGGAGGAAAGGGCTGCAGACTAAAAGGGCCAATAACTGGCTCATAGAGTCATCAGGGGAAAGGTTTGTAATATTTAATCTGAGGGGAAGAAAGAAATTTAAATGATCCCATTGGGTAATATAAACAGCATTTGTCAGTCAGTGTGGGCAGTAGAGTTCAAAGTGCCATTACAATTGCTGCAGGCAGTATGCCATCTGTATTCTGTCGAAAAGTGCTTGTGTTGGAAAGGCACAGTCACTGTGTGGTTCGAAGACATTAACAGACGGTCACAAGAATTTGCTTATACCAGACAAAAGGCCTCATGCAAGAGTATTTTGGTTTACTTATGTTTCAAGTCATTGTTCATTTAAACCTGATTCGTGCCACCTCTTCATGAGGACAAACAGATTTGGGAGGCAACTGAAATTATGGCAGTAAAATCTTAAAACAAACATACCTTGTCCATCAGTCCCCTTAAAGAACCATGTGAAAAACATCTTGCAATGTTAAAGAGAGGGACATTTCTCAATCTGCCCCAAAATTAAATGGTTCCTCCAGGACCAATTATAGTGTTTTCTTGCTTACATACAAACCAACAAACACACAGGGGGAAACATTACTTCCTTAGTTGAGTTGATTAAAAAAAAAATTTTTTTAAGGCCTAATACATTTCCTGCACATGCCATTTAGGAACACATCCAATTGTTAATATTACTGGTTCTTGCACGAGGCCTCAAATTTAAGTGTCCGTACAGGAGAAGCAGCACTTTACAGTAACTGCATAGTAACTAACGTGTCCTTTGATTAAAAGCCACTGGTGGGTTGGTAAAATGTGAAAATATTAGAAAAAAGATGTTAGAAACATATTGAGAGAATTATCTTTGTCTGGTGTAATTGGTTTGTGGCGTGCCAAGAAAATGGAGAAATGGGATTTTGTGTTTAGAGGAAACAGAATACTGTAGCATCAAAAGAACTTGGATTAAAAATGTCACTGAATGTGTTTTCTAAAAACACTAATTACTGACAGGCTTGAGAACCTGTCTCTACAGTCGACCCTTTGGTTTTCACATCCACCAGACCTCAGAAACAGAAGCGACCATGTTGGTGCATTAGTGTTCAATTATTGTACACTAATGACAACAGCTTACTTAAAGAAGTGTATTTGTAACAGCAATTTAAGCTGCAAAGGTTTTTAAGTGATATTTTGTACATTGATACTCTTAAGAAGTCTTGTACAGAATTTGCGTTCACTTTTTTTATTTATTTGTTCTGATTCTTTGGGTTTTCTCATTCCTCTAAACTGACATCAGCTTTGTATTGAATCGGACCCCGGTGTTGTGTTTTTTAAACAACTAGCATGCATTGTAACTGAGTAGGAATGCCTGTCAATGCTAATTTTGAATGTTTGTAAAAAAGAGAAAAAAAATGTTTTGCTTCACTTTAAAAGGGACTTTGTTTCCTGTTGGTCAGTAGTTGGAATGGAAATTAGAATATTTAAGGTCTGCTTTGTACATTTTTTTCCCAGCAAAATGTCCTGTACATTGTAAAGTAAAATATATGTTTATTGCACTGACGTAGTCCTGTAATCTTTTGATGGTTCTGATCTGTAAACATCTCTTGTTTTGACATTTAGCCTCTAAATGGAATATTTGTTTTAATGTAAAACGTCGATCTGATTTAGGGTTTCAAAGCAGCAGTCACCAATAGAGGGAGCTAAAGTTCTAAATACTGAAGAAAACCTCATTAGATACAGGTCAATGTTACACATTGAAGTTTCACTGCAGATGTCCATTAGCCAACTCACATATTTCTTTGGGTTTTTACTTTTGTAACTGCCATTTTGACTGGGCGGTATTTCTACAAATATTATAAATCATGATAAATGTCACATTATTATTTCTGTTAGGTTCAAAGACTAATTTCTGCTCCAGAGTGAAGGTTGTAGTTTTAAACTCTTCTTTATGTGCAGAGAATGACAAAGACGTGACAAACAGAAACATACTTGTTATGAAAGCATAAAGCATATCTATTGTACACCACATGTGTAGAATGGTTGTCCACTAACCAAAAGGTTGTCGGTTAGATCCCCTCAGTCCACAAAAGTCTAAGCAATGCATCAATATATATTGCACTTTTGTTAAATTGCTGTTGAGGAAAATCATATTGCAATAATTATTGATTTTGTTTTATTGCCCAGGCCTATGTGCCATTAATCGACCACCCAAGATGGCGTCCAACACACCTCATTTCCTCACTGTACCTGACAGGTGCATGAGATAGACCATTATTAAATCAGCCAAGAGGAAAACTTCCCTGATTATGTGGATATACAAGAGCGTCAAGACCTAATCCTGCCAAACTTAGAAAAGGCCACAGCAGCTCACAACAAAGGAAACCTCCATGAGCTGCAGTAATAGCTGTGTCCTTGAGGGGAAGCAAGGTTTAGTCATTTTGAATGACTTTTTTTAAATGCATGCCTTGCACTGAATTACACAAGTCAACTACTTTTATAAAGCTCCATCCTTATTCCACCAGACAACAAACATATTATTTAACAACAGAATTACAGGACACCTCAACCATTAGACCAGTACTGCCTGTGATTTAGTATGCGATTACATAAAAAAAATATATATATATATTTTTTTTAAGAAAAATTAAATTCAAAATACTTTAAAAATCGAAATAGATACAATACCAATATGTTATAAATATAAATAAATATATTATACATAAAATATTAAAATACTTTAAATAATACTCATCTCTCAACAGGGATAATTCAAGGCGAGCAGGGAAGCAAAGCAAAGGGCACACACAATTCATCAACACACATAAAAGACAAGACTAAATACTAACAAAGCAAAATCACTAACAAACTAAGAGAAATACAAAAAATGTTAAATTAGAAAATGAGAGGGATTAGAAAAGGATGAGGTTGAAGTGCAACAGGCTGAAAGTTGCATTTGGTTTTTTGGTTTTTATCTGTGTTCTATTACTGTGTGATGTTTAAATTGCTTTTAAATTGTTTGGTATGGTTGGATTTTGTATTGTTTCCTATTGTTTGCCTTACATTTTTCATTTTTAACTCATAAAGCAGTTTGTACCTGTGTTTTGAAAGGTGCTCTATATTACTATTATTATTATTATTATTATTATTATCATTATTATTGCTTAACGGTCAACATAATCTATTTTCCAATTTGTTTCTAATCGTTGGTAAAGTTTGCTGTCACAGGTACCGAACCGGACCTTCAACGACACTGTGTTTTATTTTGAAAATCTCGATGTGCGGAGTTGTTTCTCGGTAACTTGACACCGGTGAGCTCGTGTTCAACCATTAGAAGTAAAGTTCCGATCCTGATCCTGACCGGACACCTGAGGATCTTCTCCGGGCTCAGGTGAGTTGAATTTACCTGCTTAAAGCAGAAAACCACAATATGTGTGTTTCCTGTCCTGTCTGTGCTGACACCTGAGAGATAAACTTTATATTTATATTTCTCTTTATATAGAGAAATGAATGAACTATCGAACATGTGACTTTTATTTCACATGTATGAAGTCCAGTGTGTTTCATGGTATGACGTTAAAATGTAGAAACATGATTATAAAGTTAACTGCACTGGTTTGTTTATCTGTTGTGTCACTTTTAAACAATTCATATCATAATTTAAACAACTACTTTGATCATTTTGATGTCATTACATTTTTAAAGAGTTTAAACATATATAGGATTTGGTTTTTACTACATAACTTAGTATCTATCAGGGGAAAAAAACCTAAAAGCGTTTTCCTGAATAGACGTTCTGCTCAGTTTCAGTCAGACTTTGTTGTCAAACTAGTTTATCCACTTTGAACCCTCCCTGCTGCTCATGTGTTTCAGGCCATAGATACCTGAAGCCTGTAGTCGCTGTGTACATAATGAACCCAAACACTGCTGACACATACTCTGCCTCTGTGTGCCATATGACTTTAAAGCTTTTGACAAGATGTTCTCCAGAGGCTGCACTGTGTTAAAAGCCTAATTTCGCCTCAGTATTCACAGACCCCCGTTTCTCTCGTCAGCGTGGAGCAGCAGCCGCAGCAGCCAGGATGATCCCGGTGGGTGAACTGAAAAACCTCGGCACAGAGCAGAACTCAAAGTTTCGGGTGCTGAAGCCGTGGTGGGATGTTTTCTCAGAGTACCTGTGCATTGCCATGCTGATGATCGGAGTCTTTGGTTGCACCCTGCAGGTGAGGCATCTACAAACCAGCTCCTGTGATCATATGCTCTTAAATGTTTAGTTTAGTAACAGGATCATTATTAACCACACACAGCCTGACCTGCCATGCAGTTAGGGACTGGCATCATGTGCATCTCCTGAACTATGTGTAAACAACAAACTCTTGACCTCCATGTCAGGTGAAAACACAGACAGACTGAGCTAACTTGGCTCTCCTGACCCACTTACTGTACATTCAGATCTCTAACTTGCTGCTTAATGTGTCTCTCACCACCTGCTTATTATTTCTGTCACGTTAATATAGCACAGAAGAAAAGCGTAACAGGATTAAGACTTGACATCTTCTGTTACTCTGTTTCATCAACACTCTGTCTCAGTGAGGAAGGTGTGTGTGTTGCTCAAGTAAAGACCCTAACTTTACTCAGGCAAAGGTCTAGTACAAAGGAATCATCTATACAGGACAAGTTTAACCCTGAGTCAAGAATGTAAAATCATTGGATTACAAACAGGCACAACAAATTCCACTGGATCAGAAGATGAACTGTCGCTGATAGAAAACACAAAAGTTGTTCAGATTCATCCTCTGAAGACCTGTGACTGTACAAAGTTTTATTGTAATCCATCCAAAGTGAGGACTGTTATTGCCATACCAATAACATGGTTAAAAAACACAGTATATAATAAGTAATAATAAGTTTCTACAACAGCTTCAGGACTCATTGGTACATGTTCTTAGCATCTCTATATCTCTACTCTATCCTCTGTTTGCATATAGTTTACACTCAAATGTAACTGTAAGGATTTGTAAATTACAAGTTACAATAGATTTTCTGTACATTTCCATGAATCTATTTCAAAACTCCTTTCTTAAAGGTTCGGTGTGTAGAATAAAGGCTTTTTCTCAGGAGCTAGATTTAAGAGGTATGAGAAAATAGTCTAAATCTCAAAATAATCTTAAATTAAAGGTTCAGTGTGTAGAATCTAGTGACATCTAGTGGTGAAGTTGCATGTTGCAGCTGAATAATCATCACCTCACCCTCCCCTTCCAAACATGAGAGAGAACCTGTGGCAGCCTTCTGTTGTTATAGAAACTCAAAAGATGTTTAGTTTGTCCAGGTTGGACTACTGTAAAAAACATGGCAGCCTTCGTAGGGTGGACCTGCTCCCAATGTAAATATAAAGTATTTAAATATAAAGGACTTATTCAAGAGTAAAGACAACAACAATTTGTACAAACACACTAGTGAAAACATCCCTAGGATTATTTGATACTCAATTTCTGCCAATAGATTATTTCACCTAAATTTTACACACTGGACCTTTAAAGGAGAGATGTTATGTTTAATTTATTACTTGAAAAGGTTTACATGCTCTAATGTAAATCCACTTTCCTCACACTGTCCATTGCTGCAGCTCCTCTTTTCAGCCTCTGCCTGAAATGCTTGGTTTTACTTCCTGTCCCTTCTCATTTGTGATTGGTCCATTACAATAAGGAAATGCTGGCCTCCACTCTTGCTTTACCTGACTTTGTTTGGGGGCATGCCAGATTAGCAGTTAGGTGTGCATTATGCAAACATGTGGCATCACAATGGCCTCACATGTGAAAGTATCGGCCAGAATACTGACGGGTCATCTAAGCTGCAGTGTTTTCTGTGGGGGAGAGGACACTTGTTGTTGTCCACTTATGCATATTTCTAATTTCATGGTACAATTATAGATACTTGCTGTCTGCCCCCTTATTAATTCATGCATCTTTTCTCCACAGCTCACTCAAGACAAGATTTCATGCCTGCCCAGTCACTTCACCAGCCCAACGCCAGAGGCAATCGACTGCAGCCACATCCGCACATACGCAGAGAATGAGACATGGGAGCACACACTGGTCAAACCTGCAAGTCCCATCATTCGGGAGGTGACCGGCCGCAAGAACAACCTGGATATCCATCAGTATTTGTTTGTTAATCACTATTGCTACGAGAGGTTTGTCCACTGGTACGCAAAGTACTTCCCCTACCTCGTGGTGATCCACACTGTGATCTTCATGGTTGCGAGCAGCTTCTGGTTTAAGTTCCCTGGTACATCTTCTAAGATTGATCTCTTTGTGACCATCCTCGTGAAGTGCTTTGACTCCCCGTGGACCACGAGGGCCCTGAGTGAAGTGTCGGAGGAGAGAGGTGAGGAGAAGCTGGTCAATTGGAGGAAGAACACCACCTCAAAGGAACATGCAGAGCGACAAGCAGCTGAGGAGGAGACCACAGGGCTTCTACGCTCCTCCTCTGTCAAGTCTAATCCAGAAAAGAAAACCCCAGAGTCTCCGTCTACCGCCTCCGTCCTGGACAAGAAAGA